TCCAGACATAATTGTCGGGATCCGCTTCAGCTGCGGTGTCTCAGTATACCGCGAGCAGCAGCTCGCGGTATACTGCGGCGTCTTAGTATACCGCGAGCTACAGCTTGCGGTATACTGAGCCTAGGGTGACGGGAGGACGCTAGTTTGTGTCCTCCCGTTCACCTAAGGAGAACTATGGGGAAAAGCCTTAAACCCATAGTTCTTTAAATGAAGATCACCTCATATATTTGACTTCTGATGCGATAGTGGCCAATGGTAACACCCAGAAAAAATGTCCATTGGTAGAAAATATGACCATTCCTATACAACCCTCTTGGTGAAGGTTTGGAAGCCGCATCCAACTGGGAGAGTTATCAGTTTACCCTATCATTTGTATATTAAGAATTCTATTGAATATAGTTGGAGACTGTGGGATATGTCCATATTGTGAAATCCTATTCTACAATCTCACGAAGGTCAAAAAAAGAAATTATAATATTTAGCAGACCAAGTCAAGGAAAAAAAAAATAATAGCATGCATGAACCCTTATAAAAAGGTCCACTTTCCAAAACAGCTTGGTCAGAAGCTTCCACCAGAAGCAGACAAAAGACGAAAACATTTCTCAAGAAAACAGGCAGTGATACAACATTACACACTTTTCCTAAGTCATACTCCGTGAAGAAGTGTTGAAACGGTGTATAAAGAACTCCCCAAAACTGGGATATTATAACAACACACATAAACCCTGATTTACTAAAGCAATGGAGCACTTTCACTTTGCAAGGGATTTTAACAGTTAGCTTAGTGGATGTGGTGAAAATTCACTTTGAAAATAATATCCATCACGTGCAAAGGAAAATTATAATAATAAATTAAAAATAAGAAAAAAAATTGATTTTTGCTCTAACATTATTGGATGATGGAAGTCAGCACAGGCATCCCAGTCATTAAGCTGAAGATTCCCTTTGTAAAGTGAACACGCTCTCCTTTAGTTAATCAGGGTCATCTTTTTTACAGTGCCTAAAAACCTCATTGACCCAAGCACACATAGCACTCATCTGTGCAGTACAATATGCAAGATATTCTATTGAACAGGCTTAATGGACACGATGTACAGGTTTGAGTGTAACCATTCTACACATCTACAGAGCTAATTGATTGGTGTTCCCACACCATCAGATTACCAATAACACATACAGCTATACACTGATGAAAAACAGAAATCCTCAGGTGGTAAATTTGTAGCTGCACAAATGTCAAGGTTTAATGTTAGTTTTGACTGAATAGTTTGTTAACTTCTAAAAGTGTTCAAATTTGTTTCCAACACATTACCAGAATTACCAAAAAAACTGACCAATGGATTATTTGTTGCCTTTATACCACATTCAGAATCTGAAGCACAACCAAGCAGACAGATCACTTTAAACACCAAAACAATCAATGTTTTCAACCGCTGAATTACTGATTCTTGCCTATTCACAACAGGTTGCTATCCAATTAAAAGTATAATTATTACAGATACTAAAACATAAAGATCTTTTGGTGCCAGATCAATAGCAAATTAAAAAACAAAATCTATGGTTGATATGGCATGTGTTTAATGTAGCTATATTAGCAACAATTTAACGTGACATTCAACTCAGGAGTTAAATCTTAGAAATCCATTCAAGTATCTTAGCTAGTAACAAAAATGTATCTTATTTGTGTATCACTCGGCTGTAGATCCTCAAATAATCTCTGAATTTGTGCTGACACTGTCCTTCCTTCTGGGGGTGGCTACTTTTGTTCCCCATGGTCCCTGTGTGTGTTCTAAAGTAGCCACCGCTCCAAGCTCACTCCTGTGATGGGCTACAATCCCATGTTTAGTTTACTAATTTGTATTGAAATTATAGTCCATCACAGGAGTGAGCTTGGAGCGGTGGCAACTTTACAACACACACAGGGACCATAGGGAACAAAAGTAGCCACCCTCCAGAAGGAAGGACAGTGTCAGCACTAATTCAGAGATGATTTGAGGATCTACAGCCGAGTGATACACAAATAAGATACATTTTTGCTACCGTTAAAAAGGTACCTGAATGCATTTTTAAGGTTTAACTTCTGAGTTTAATGTCACTTTCATGTAAAGGCTAAACTGCATGTACAATTTTTGTCTCAGGCTCCTGAGTATTGACCATTTAATGGTGATCACTTTATTTGCAGCACTCTTTTTTTAATGTATTGTAGATTATATTGATGGCAACAAAAAGCTAGACCCTATACTGTAAGAATTTCAGCCAATTCACAGGAATTGGCCAAATTTCTAACAGTTGGGGGCCCGTTAGCACGACAAAAGTTAATTGACCATTGCTCAAAGTAAGAAGCCGGGCCGGAAACCGTCAGCTGAACGTTGACAACAGCCAATCAGCTGCAGTCACTGTTTGGGTATTCTGACAGTGGCAGGTTCCATAATACAATAGCCCAGTGGGGAAAGATTCCTCCAGCCATGCTATTTAGCAAGTCTGGAGGAATCAGTTAGATTTATTTCATTCACCCCATGAATAAACCAACGGGTGACACATATGAGAGGTTTGTAGCTGGTTGGGGGTTTGCAGTACTGCTATTTGCTGTTACATACACTGTTACACTGGATTTGCTGTTAATTTCAATAAAGTCAGAAGTATTGGAATTCTCTGGATAGTACGGTCTGTTCGTATACTACTAACACAGCAAGGCAACCCATTCCCTGCTTCTCCCTCTTTCCTTCTCCAGCCTAACAGATGGACAGCTGATGCAGACTGTGCTCTTGCACAGGAAGTTCAGGGAAGCTGAGCTGAATAGGAGCCAGATGTTTGAAAACATGACTGCAAGTGCTTAGACAAAAATAAAAAACAAAATAAAATACACTTTGCTGGGCAATGTACATATGTTTTACCAGCATTCAATAGTGAAAAAAAGTTTGAGAGTTTAAAGGAGAACTATGAGGTGAGTGCTTTTCACTCACCTCATAGTTCTAGCCAACCTGTGACAATGAGACTGTCACAGGTCGGCTCAGTAGATCGGGAGGTGAGCGAACACATACCAGGTTCGCTCACCTCTCGATCCTGTCACGGCTCTCTGCCATGACAGGGGAGGGGCTGGATTCCCCTCTCCCCGCTCTGATCTGCCAGCGCTGACTGGCGAACGGACGGGGGAGGGGGCGGGTACAGCTGGCTCTGCCTCTAGATAGGCAGAGCCAGCTGTCATTCACGCAGCTGGGCGGATCCCGTCATCTACGGCGGGATCCGCTCCGGGTGCGGCGTCTCAGTATACCGCGAGCTGCAGCTCGCGGTATACTGAGCTTAGGGTGACGGGAGGATGCTAGTTTGTGTCCTCCCGTTACCCTAAGGAGAACTATGGGGAAAAACACTGACCCATAGTTCTCCTTTAATATTACGTTAAGCCAGAATGTACCAATATGGAATCCATTTTTATTTTTTTAAGAACCAGTTGTCCATTGACTACTAAAGAGAACCTCAAAAGCCAGTTGTAACTCTTGAAGCCCATCTCTGGTGAAGAAAAATCAATCCAAGTAAAAGACCTTTACACATCCCCCTAGACATAAACAAGCAGTTAACCCTTGCAGTGTGGTGGCAGCCCCAGTGCAAGGGTTACCTACTCGTTTATGTCTAGGGTGATTTGTAAAGCTGGTCATACACCTATAGATTGCAGATTTTCTATGGTCAGGTGGAAAAAGTGCAACAGATTCCTCCAGCTACGCTAAACTGTATGGGTGGAGTAATCTCCCACTGGGCCAAGCTTCAGTATCTTGCTAGTCAGCCCCATTGGCTCTCAAAATACCTGAACATCTGATGGGATCCACGCATTTTTCAGGTATTTTGAGAGCCAGTGGGGCCAACTAGCAAGACACTGAAGGTTGTCCCAGAGGGAGATTCCTCCATCCACACAGCTTAGCATAAATGGAGGAATCTGTTGCACTTTTTCCATCTGATCATAGAAAATCTGCAGATAATCTATAAGCTTAAAAGGTCTTTTAATTACCCGATTCCTGCTCCCCTGGTGGTCGTCGCTCACCGCCCCCCTCCGGCTCATCCTTTGGCATTCTCATAAATAATACAGGGCCCTGCATTAGATGCGATGACATCAGTGGGCCTCTGCCTGAGCAGATGAGGTAAGAAGCTATGGCGATCGAGTAAGTAAAAGTCCTTTACACCGGTCCCCTAGGCAAATGAAGTGAACTCTTGCAAAGTGGGGGCGGCCAGGTTTGTTTTTTTCACCTGGAACATTGGCTATAAGGCTAGCGAGGTTAGTTCTGCCTTGTTGTAAGTACTTTTATTTTGGATTACACTATGGTGGACAGAGCATGGAAGGATGAAAATGAGAAGTATCCCAGAAAGAAAACAAAAAGTGAGTAATAGTAGGTAAGGACTTTGCCAATACTTGACATCCCCCTCTACCCAATCACACGTGTCTGCCCTCCCTCCACATGCTACGTGCCTTGCTGCCTCAGCACATTCACAAAGATGACTTTTCCCCACAATGTGAGCTCCTCCAGCACCCATATGTCGGCACAGGAGTTAGCGGAAAGTCCTCCCCCCATCCGCAGCACTTCTCGCAGCACTTTCCTCACAAGCCTACCAGTGTGCCCAGCAAAGTCACTGTCACGGCTGCTGTGTGCTCTCCCTCATCGCGGCTGCAGAGGAGGAAGGCCGGCCCAACACTTGGCTCTGCTCATGATTTCTGTCCAGCAAACTGCTTGCTGATGAGTGTTGAGCAGCATACGGGCTATTACAGAGTGTATACGAGGAAGAGGAGGAGGAAGATGAAGGTGCAGCAGCAGCCGGTGGGAGGAAGGAGGGACAGGAGTACAACTCTGCACACATACACATATACAACTACCGGGAGAGGCACACCGACACACGGGGGAGGGGGGAATGCTGAGGAGGAAAGGGGAAGAAGAGCTGCCTGGAAGGGTCACTTGTTTCCCCACCCTCCTCCCAAGCGCCCCTGGCGGGGTGTCCGCCCGACCGGGCTACAGTACCTCATAGAGTTCTTCGGAAGCCATGCCGGAGGGGGCCGGGGGTCTGGGAGCCGCTGCCGGGCTGAGCAGAGTACTTTTCTTTCAGTTGTGTGTGCCTGGCCTCCTCTGAAATGCCAGTGTGCTGCTGGTGTGTGTGTGTGCGCACAGGAGCTGCGCAGCCGCCT